AGAGGAGTTGGGCATCCCATTATCCCTGCCGCTTACCATAGAATTTCCAACGATTTGGATAATTATAAAAAATGTCTTCACTATGTTCGAAATTTTCTTAAATTAACTCAAAATCAGAGTCGAATGCTATTATTAAAAAATATATAAACTATTTTTAATAGTTTGATTTCAGTTTTGATATTTTATATTACGCAAAATTATAATTGAAAAGTTAGATGTGTACAAAACTACATATGCGAATTGAGTAATGGCAACATTGTTCAAGCAAATTGATTTTTTTCACAACTCTTTTGCCCTTCCCTCCGTAAACTGACATTCCCCTCATCAAGCCCTCGTGCAAACTTTGCTAACTTTGCGGGCTAAAAATGTGCCCATCCCTGTGCTATGCAATAGCTTTACCGCGGCAGTCCCCGAGTGCCACACGTCTTTTTTTTGTTTTTTGTTTTTATAGCACTCCCTTTTTATTTGCCACAGTTCTGGAAAACTTCGATAGTGTTCAAAGAACTCTTTCCCAAATTGCTCGTTCATCCGCGACACCATTCCTGCACACTGTCTTTTTTCCGACTGAATGTGCTGAACACATTGAGCGCGTCAGTCTCCAAGCGACATCTGTCAAATATTAAAATATACACGTTCTTATTCTACAGTGATTTCTATTTTCTATTAATTACGAATTTTCCCTCTTTCATTAAATTAGGAACCGTTCTTAAATAACTACTTTATGAGTTTTAGCAGCTAAACGCTTGTCGCGTTCCTCATAATGCCCAATTTAAGATCCTTGCCTTTTGGCAGAGAAATGTAGGGCTTATTGCCCTTGCCGATGATGAAAACGTTTGCCAATCTTCTGGCAAACACATGCCCTTGCGAGTCCTTTACGTGAACGATAGCGAAGGAACCGGGAAGTCTTTCACGGTTGACCACAGTACCGACACGACCCAAATTTCTAAGTTCAGTGATCATGCAGAGGTTTCCTGAGTCCAATTTGATGTAGTCAGTGATTTTAGCAGTGGCACAGTTATTTTGACAGCTGCACGTCTACAAGACTGCAAGCTGACAGTTGTCGTTCTAGCTAACTTCAATATATTTTTATATTTGCCAACGACAGTAAAGAGATGAGGTAGAGTGGTGATGCCACTAATATGAAAAATGCAAAATTATTCAAAGCTCTAACAAACCTGACGTTATTTTACAAATAAAAGCATAAAATATGTCTATTATATTATTTGTAATAACAATTGATAATTTGAAGCAAATAAATTTACCTATTTACTTATTTTTTGCATTGATTCATTGTTGATTGAAGTTGAGGAATGCACCGCGATTTTTTGTCTATTGTGCCCTCTCCTGACTCACATTGACTCACTTAGCCCCAGCGCATTAATGAGTCCAATAGACTACCGGATGCTAGCAAGGCAATGCGGTCTCTATCCGGAAACATCGATCCAAGGGCATTAATCCTGCGGCTACAGCCTGCTGTTCAGTCGATCAGCAGGTGCTCCGGGGTTTCAGGCTCTCTGTCGCAGTAGCCTGAGTTTGTTCCTGGGGAGGTTTATTACAACGTTGAACCTTCTCAAATTGTATCCTCCCATTAGCAACTTGGCATGTCTCATACCGTGAGTCTGTTGCCAATGCTTCGGAGCAGATGCTTCATGGTATCTGGACCCACCCCCGTGAACAGTTCGGGTCCTACCATTTTGGTGGAGGCTGCGGAACGGGCGAGCTCGTCCGCCAGTTCCTTACCCGCTATATCTCTGTGACCAGGCACCCAGATTAGGTGTACCTGGTTTCGTTCTGCAAGGCTGTTCAGCGTTTCCCTGCACTCCTGCACTAGTAGCTATTTGATCTCGTAAGAGGAGATCCCTTTTAGCGCCGCTTGACTATCGCTGAGAATGGCTTTTCGCTCATTGCGATAGATGCTTATTTCTATACGACGGCTTATGGCAAAAACTTCTGCCTGGAAAATGCTCGGGAACTGGAACTGGAGAGCCTAGTGCGTGGGCCCACAACTCCCTCCGCATTTTCGAGCCATTGGTGTACCACCTTAAAGTGCTGTTCCTCACGCATCAGCTCGAGGGTGGAGTCATTCCACTCGTCTTTACTGACCTTAAACTTTTTTCTGAAGTTAACCACTTTGGTAGCGCTGTCCCTCGGAACGGGGGAGGTTTACATGATGCTTCCACCTCAGAGTGGAATCTAGCATCAAACCGAGGTATTTGACACTGTTGATCATCTCTATCTGGTAGCTTTCTGAGGGGTCAATAGCGGCCATCTTGGATTTTCAGTGGTAGAAAAGCAGTGCTATACATATATATTGAGGTAGTAAATACTTAGCAAATTTAGTTTATTAAATAACAAAAATTATAAATTTTGTAGCTTAATATAAAAGGAAATTATTTATTAATTATATATATTTAATAATAGGTGATTTAAATGCCATAGTGTCCAATATTTCGCCCAAAAAAATATCATTTACTGATATTCTTTATGTAGAGAGCTCTTATTAATAAAATGCAGCCTTATTTTTGGATTTCTCGGTAGTGAGTTTCCTTCTGAATGTATTTGTTTACAATTGACAGACAGAAAAAATAAAACGGTTTGCAACTTATTCTTAAGTTTTTTTTAATATTATAACCAATAATTTCAGTTTAAAACTCCAATCTCATTTGAAGCTAGATTTTTAATACATCGTTCTAATTATCATCCGTATACTATTTACGATAAAACAGATAGAAAAGGTACAATATTTTTTTCTTTATATGTGAAATTGCACAAAAATGATAAATATAACTATTTTGAGATTATTTAATTCATTGGCATATGTATTTCTCACGTACTTTTTATTCCAACGAAATGAAACGAATTTTATTAACATTCAAAGTATTTTTGATGAAATTTATTTTTGAATGTTTAAGGTTTGCAATAAGGCGCGTTACCGACTTTTTTAGGTGTATAATAAAATAAGTGTTCGAGATTAAAATATCGTATAGGCTATAATCCCCCATCTAAGGCTACGCTACGCCTATGGGATAAATATCGCCTGATTGTAGCGTTATTTCTTCTTTCTTTTGTTCTTTGCATTCATCTATTGACTGCCTAGCATGTACATACATATGTTAGCGACGCTGACTGCTGCCTACTGTATATATGCACACCGCTAGCATATGCTCTATTCCCGAAATCCTAATTAGTTTACAAACATATCTACATATTAAGTATAAGCGCATCTTTTCGCACCTACACAAAGCGTATTACCTATTGATGTGCAGTTATTATCATTGCATTTTTCAACATGTGCCTACTGCACAAGCAGGCATATAATTGCCGCTCTTTGCAGATTTGGATCAGTGCTAAAAATAAAGTTGTGACGATAGGTCACATCAATTGCAGTTCCATTTTTTGGTGCCTCCTGTGAGGACTGCGACCACCTGTCTTAAGTAATAATGGCCTCGTTAAATTTACGTGCATCGGCACATGCTTCAATTGTGCGCCTTGCAAAGGAAATCCAGAATGCATATTTCAATCCGGATAAAGTGGAGTGTGAAGTTTTACTCAGCCGAGTAAATCAACACTTTGATCGGTTTGTACACCACCACTTTGGGCTGGTCAGCAAGGCTAAGGCAAACGAAACTGCTTCTCATGACGAGTTGTTTGCAACAACAGAATCGTTGTACACCACGTTGTGTGTCACGCTGCAACGCCGCTTAAACCCCCAGACTGCCGTTCAGGTTGCATCATCGACAATAGAACACGTGACAGACATGCGATTAGATCCGGTATCAATTCCGCGACTTGACGGAAGGCCAACGAATTGGTTGGCATTTAGGGACCTCTTTGAACCGATGGTTCATAATCGAACTGACCTTAATCCTGCATATAAATTGGGTAAGTTACGCCAGYGTGTCGATCAAGAAAGTGTTCCGATGATTGGAGGATTGTATACCGGCGGCTACCACGAGTTGTGGTCCGGGCTAAAACGTCGTTATGACAATCCTCGCCTACTGGCAGAAACACACGTGCAGA